TCGCAGCCAATGAGAGTGGAGCTTCCAAAAGAGAGGTTAGAAAACCTGTTTCAACCTTGCCGAAACAAGCTTGGAGGACGTTCCGATTGTTTAGAAACAATGTTCCGAAAACGTTGCCAAATTGTGCAAAATAAAAAAACGAATAAAAATAAGCCACGCCCCTTAACATAAAAAACACCCGAACAAAACACGGTTGTTATAAGATGTTCCGAATTGTTTCGTCGAACAAAGTACGACTTTTGTTAACAGGATTTCTAACCTCACTTCTAGCTGCTTTGCTCTCATTGGTTGCGAAAAAGTGATGCAAATAACACAAGATCGGTAATAGGAAACAATTGTTGCGTCGAACGATCCTGCTTTGAGCACGTTGCAGTTGCTGTACAACCATAGAGAAAAAAAGGAGGTGTTTGCATTTTGGGCATCTTGGAATTTTTTTGATGATGTAGGTCGGTACGGCGACTTTTATCATTGATTTTCTTGAAAACGGTGTACTTTATGGAAAAATGCATACTACATGAAGTGTTCGAAATTATATCATGAGTTGATTTCAGCAAAAAAATCGGACGTTATGGTCCGTTTTTCATACTTCGAATTCCGAATTTTGCTGACCAGGTTGTACCAACTTACGTCACAGAGTACACGATCGTCAAGATGCAAACACCTCCTTTTTTTTCTCTATGCTGTACAACAATGTTGCTGTAGGGGTTCCCAAATTTTGCGCGCGAAAAGAAGCCCCGCCCCCACAACACAAAACAACTTCGAACAAAATGCGATTGTTGCGTGTTTTCACAACATTTTGCAGGTGTTGCTTCCAAACAAAATACGACTCATGGCGATTCTTTAGATACCCACTTTCATGGGTCTAAGGTTCACCGTTATCGTAGAGTTCGAATGACTTTCTCAGGATGCTGGACTCTAGAAATTCAAATTGCCCGCCACAGTATAAAGTAAAATTTTCGTCGTTTTGGGTCATTAAGTGCTTGAAACTTTTTGAAAACTCAACGGATCTTAATGAGACTCTTCCACTTTGTAGTCCTAATTGAGATGCGTCCGTAGACACCAAGATCGTAGAAATCCGTGCCATCGTTTGGGCTGCAGTCGAGTTCAAAGAGCTTGATGCAAAAACGGCTTTTTTCGCCCCCCCTCTGGAAGTTCTTCAGACTTTGTCTATTGATTACTCATACTTGAGCGCTTCTTTTCCCAAATTTTCAGACTCCCAACAAATTTTGGGGGGGAGCTAGGGGGGGTGGAAGTCAAAACCTGTGAACCTCGATATCTCTTGAACAAAGAAAGATATCGAGGTCCGGTTTGGACGAAAAATCGTCTAAAATTGCATACTTTAAGATTCTAAAGGTCGAAATCCCGATATCAGATTTTTAAGTCAACATATGTGCTTTTGTCCAGTTTTTAGGTCTAGAAAATTTCTTTTAAACAAAAAATTTACAAAGATCTCAATTTTGTATTTGAGCCAAAACCAGTTTTTTAAAATGTTCGTCTTTTTCCGCATCCAACGAGTGTTCCATTAAGCTAGGGAACCAAACGGTTCCAGAGTTATGATCGATTGAAGTTTCCGCTCAACGCGCGCCGACCGATTTTCGCGCGCAAAAAAGTCGGATTTGACTGTTATTAGATCAGATTGAATGTTCAAACTGAGCAAAATGCTTTATTAGGGACTCTTGAGGGTCGCTGAGTTCAGAAATTACAGATACTTCCAAATAATTTACGTTTGTAAAATTACAGCTCCGCAGCGCTATTTTAGAGGCCCACTGAGCGCCGACCGGCCGCTCAGTGGTCCTGTCCGAAGCTGCAATTTTAAAAACGTGAATTTTTTGGAAGTGTCTGTAATTTCTGAACTCAGCGACCCTCAAGAGTCCCTAATAAAGCATTTTGCTCAGTTTGAACATTCAATCTGATCTAATAACAGTCAAAAACTGGAAAAAAGCACATATGTTGACTTAAAAATCTGATATCGGGATTTCGACCTTTAGAATCTTAAAGTATGCAATTTTAGACGATTTTTCGTCCAAACCGGACCTCGATATCTTTCTTTGTTCAAGAGATATCGAGGTTCACAGGTTTTGACTTCCGCCCCCCCCCTAGCTCCCCCCCAAAATTTGTTGGGAGTCTGAAAATTTGGGAAAAGAAGCGCTCAAGTATGAGTAATCAATAGACAAAGTCTGAAGAACTTCCAGAGGGGGGCGAAAAAAGCCGTTCTTGCATCAAGCTCTTTTCAGATTAAAGGAATTACGTGTGTCTAAGAGTGTCGGCCACCACTTTGCTATTGGAATTTTAGTAGGACGTCATTTTTCTCGACCAGGGGTGGCTACCGCCACTCATGATTTCCTGTAGAATTTTTTGTGGATGGTGTGACCAATCTCTACCAAATAAACAAACATCGAAAGAAAAGATCATGATTAAAAGGGTTTAGCGGACAGTTACACGTCTTTCCCATATTTTCTCCCATTAGCTAAATTCCAACCTTATCTATGAAACCATCAAAGCATAAATCAAAGAGAATCTCATAACTGCCAAAAATACAATCAGCATGCACAGCTATAACACCAGACACAATTTTGTAACCATAATGAAAGAGGTTAGTAATACCACACTAGAATACAGAGGGGAGAAAACTTCTTAGTAGGCTCCCGGATGAACTAAAGAGCATAATTAAAAAAAAAAACCAGTCTCCTCAGCACTTCTTAAAATACCTGAGGAAACATCTTAAGGAAAACCCATTCTACGCTACGGAGTATTTAGAGTAAGATCTTAAGGAAAAACATTTCATTGCATGTAAAATTTCTAACTATATCACGAACAACTCTGTACGGTAAATTTTAAGGGGTTCATAAATTCTGTTCAAATTTTGGTGTTTAAATTTGTAGTGATGTATGAACATGTACTGTAACTAAGTGTAAATTTTTATGTGTAAATAGTTGAAATGTATTTATACTGACGTGTATTTTAGCCCTTCGAACAAGAGGCTCCATGTACAAACAAATAAATACATTTTCCCCCAGCTTTGGACTGATAGACTGGGTCGGTAATTGTGATTCACAACTCTCAACCCTAAGAAAGAAACCAGAAATCAGACTAGGTAATAAAAAGTGGCCAACAATTTCAAAATTCAAAGGTGCGTAATTTAACCTTCTCCTGGCTTTGGACGGCAAGACCGCCTGATTCTTGTTGAACACAGGTTGGTACTTAAAAGTCAATCAACCGTAAATTTACATCTTTCTACATGAGCTTCAGTAGGCTGGCGCCCATTCTATTAGCGCAGAACGTACAGGTTGATCGAATTTAATTAACAATTTGAAATGAAGTTGTAGTTGGCAAAGTTCAAGAACTTTTAATACACGAATGAAGGATAGAAGGGGAGTAGGAAATCATACACTTCTCCTTGATCGAACATTAGAAAGCATGGGCAATTTTCGGAGTAAATACAACTTTGGATTTTATTTATAATTCCTCTTGATTTTTGGAATTTTGATAACTGCCACTTAGGTGCGTAGAAATATTAAAAGCTTAAATCTAACATGATCAAAAATAAAAACCACACCATTCAAACATAGCCATAACCTAAGTGATGAAGCTATTCAGATATAAATGTAATGAACTTCAGCCTTGACTTGACTTCCCTAACAGCCCTGCAGTAGAGGTGACATTGAAAATTTTTGTAAAATGACAGGAGGTACATTTTAGGGATGCAGAGAGTAGAGTACCTATATTGAGAGAGTATGGCCACTGGTGTTACCACCTCTGATTGGCTCAGCCATCTTAGGCTGAATGGAGCTCTCAGGACCCAAAAATGGCGTACGCCATAAATTAATGTAATGCAAAATGACTCAAAATGTAGTTTTCTTTGCTTATCATAACGAGAAATATACCGAAATGCACTATTGCGACTTCTTTACATATTTTTAAGGCTAATCGTGTGCAATTTTTGAGAAAAATTATCTTAGATGTAGTAAGGTTGGCAGCAAGTACGGTTGGTGATAACCGTCAAAAGTTGACAATGACCCCCCTTCCATCCACAAAAACCAAAACAAAGCACCGCCATTTTTGGGTCCTAAGCCTCTCCATGGGGCCCAGTGGCCACGCTCTCTCAGTACAGGTACTCTAGCAGAGAGTTTTTAGCCTTCCCACTTTCTTGAACGGCCGCCTCATCGGAGAAATTTCCACAGACATTTCAGGAAGATAGCCTTATTTTTTCCTCTCTCTTCATGAACCAATTGTCACAATTTTGAAAAAACAAACCAATTTTCAAAGCGGTTTTGAGAAAAAAACGTTATTTTCACCTTGCTATGGTGGGAAATGAACAATTTGACCACTAACAAGTGCCAGCCTTCCTATTCTTAAAATCTATCCTTGTTTCCGCACGCGAACAATCTCGACCTGCTGGTCGGATGATTGAAAAGTTTTTGCATTCCTTGTATACTTATCCTGCATCCCCAGAGGTTTTCTTGATTTGCATGCTATACTTGCCGGTTCTCCCGGCCTGATATCATTGATCTCGTGGGGATAAGAAAAGCAGTGAAAATAAAGCAACCTAACTTAAAACATTTGGAAGCAGCAGAACTGCAAATCAAAGGAAATTAGCCATAGACCAGGATACTCCTCAATTTGCATTCTTACTGGAAACCTTCAGCTTAGTCACCTCGTTTAAAAGTACCCATGACAACATTTTTGACAAGAAATGAGGGTCACTTCCTCTACTCTGTTGACTTCAATTCAATACATGCCTTTTACCTCAGCCTACGCAGTTGATCTTACAACCTTTTGGACACGCTTAAAAATGTGCGGATTATGGATGTCTGATGGGATTAAAAAAAGTCGGGTTCAGTTCAAGTGGATAATTCAATATCTTCCTTCTAAATAAATTTTTTTATCAAGTGCTTAAAGCAAGCTAACACGCATGAAAATTTACGATTGAGGGCATGATAAAAAAAAAATAAACTCATGTATTTAAGCGTAAAAATTTAAATAATTAAAAAAGAACTTACCTTTGTTCATTTAAAATGCAAGACTTTAAGACATTATGTATAGTGGTAACAGTTTCTAAAACTACAGTACCATTACCTGGTACCATTTCTAATTTATCTTTATCTACAACATCACGGAAGTGTTTTAAAGCAAACTGGAGCTGAAAGAAAATTATTTCAGGGGCATAAATGATACATTCAAAATATGAGGGAAAAAAATTCCATAAAATAAATATATAAATGAAGAGAGATTCTCAGCTAAAAAATTAATCATATTAGACAGGAAATAATCGCAAACTTAGTAGAAAAAGCAATAACTGAAATTTCAAAAAATGAAATTCTTAAGAAGCAAAGTACCGCAGTTTTGTGTTTTAAAAATTAATTTCTTGGATTTATGTTCGTCACATAGTGCATCTGGATTAATACAGCCAAAAAATAATAAAATAAAAATTAAGGGCTTACACTAAATTTTCAATGATTTCAAAGCTCTTTTCAGCAACTTTTCATAGAAATTCATTTAGTAAACCAACACTTCAAGTACATAGTTCAGAGGCACGGTTCTCTTTTGAGGGAGGGGGGGGCTGTAATTGGTGTAATGGAATTCAAGATAAAATGAGTCACAATGCTCAATAAAGGCCCATCTCTTAATTGCGTACCCCTTTTGTCCCGACTTTTCTACCCCTCCCTCCCTCTTTGTCACATACGTGTCACTCACATCCGGAACCCCCTAAATATTAGGTCATTTCAAGTGTGCCCCCTTTTTTGCATAGGTGTTGAGTTGTCGCAACCACCTCCTACAGGTGTAGCACTTGTTTATACATACATTAGAAATGCCTTGAAAATTATGTTTAGCACATAGGAATGTTTACACACATGGTTAGAGTTTACTCCTTTGTTCATTATGGATTTTAAAGTTTCACTGTTTTTCACATACAGTATATTACAGTCTTCGATAGTATGCTTCATTCTTCAGACATGTTCCTACATGCTGCTCTTTTGAATTTACAAGATAACACTATATCGGCATATGGTGACACTACTTTTGCTTGACAAC